CTAATAAAGTTTATAACTTGGATGAAGATTATTTATTCGTTTTTTCTTATATTTTATGCTTGTTGTGTCATATCTAAGAGCTCTATGTCTAGGCCAAGATCACAAAAATTTTTTCCTACTTTTTTTCTAGATGCTCTCACATTTAGGTTTATGACCTATTTTGAGTTAATTTTTGTGAATATTTTGAGGTAAGGGTTGAAAGGTCTTTGTTTAAATTTGTTTGCATGCATATGGATGTCCAAAGTGTCCCAGTCCGGTTAGTTGAAGACTATCCTTTTACCCATTGAATTACCTTGACTGACCTTTGTCAAGAATCCACTTACCAGAAGAGTACCTGCTTATGGACTTTATTCTCTTCCATTGATTATGTCTATCAGTCCATAACACAGTGTCTTAATTATTGTAGCTTTACTGTAATTCTTGAAATTAGGTAGTATAATTCTTTAAACTTGTTCTTTTTTTCATAATTCTATTAGCTGTCTTAGGTCACTTGCATTTCCATGTAAATTTTAGAGTCAAATTTTCAGTTTCCTCAAAAAAGTATGCTGAGATATTGATTCAGATTATGTTGAATCTGCACTGATCATTACAGTAGCCACTAGCCATATGTGCCTATCTAAATACAAATTTTAATTAATTAAGATTGATTAAAATTAAAATATTAATTCCTTAGTGCACTAGCCTTATTTAAAGTGCCATTAGCTTCATGTGGTAGTGGCTACTATTTTGAACAGTATTGCTACAGAATATTCCATTCATTTCAAAAAGTTGTATTAGTTCAGCTATTGAAAAATTGGGTTAAATTGCCATCTTAACAGTTTTGAGTCTTCCAATCAATGAACATCACATTTCTCATACTTTGTTTAGGTCTTTAATTCCTATTGACAGTGTTTTCATTGTGCAGATATAACAAAACATCTTTTGTTAAAAATTTTCCTGAATATTTTATTCTTTTTGATATAATTTTGAATGTAATGCTTTTTTACTCATTTTTTGATAGTTTTTTGTAGCATTTAGAAATACAATTGATTTTTTGTGTGTTGATCTTGTATCCTGTGATGTTTTAAACTTGTTTTTAACTCTCTAACTCTTTTCTACAATACTTAGGATTTTCTATATATCAGATTATGTTGTATGTGAATAAAGACAGATTTACTTCTTTTCCAATCTGTGTGACTTTACTCTCCTTTTCTTGGCTTATTGCACTGGCTAAGACCTTCAATATAATGTTGAATAGAAGTGGTAAGAGCAGACATTCTTATTTTGTTCCTGTCTTAGGGGAGAGCAGTCAGTCTTTCTATTCAGAGAGATACTACCTGTAGGTTTTTCATAGGTGCCCTTTACCAAGTTCAAGACCTTCTATTTCTAGTTGGCTAGAAGTTTTTATCATGCATGAAGGTTGGATTTTGTCATGTTCTTTTTATGCATCTGTTGAGATAGTCATATGGCTTTCTACTTTATTTCATTAATATGGTATATGATAATAATTTATTTTTGGAAGTTAAGTCAAACTTGCATTTCTAGGATAAACCCCCCTTGGTCTTAGAAGTTAAACCAGACTTAACATTTCTGGGATGAACCCCACTTGGTCATTATCCTATTTATAAGTTACTGGATTTATTTGCCAATATTTTGTTAAGGATTTTGAAACTACATTCATTAAGAATATTTTCCTGTAGTTTTCTTTTCTTTCGTTTTTTTTTTTTTTTACATTGTCTTTAGTTTTTATTTGGGTAAAATTGAGTTAGATTTCTCTCCTCATTTATATTATGAAAGTCTTTATCTAGGATTGATATTATCCATTTCTTAAATGACTGACAGAATTGACCAACAAAGCCATCTTTGAACCTGAACTTTTTTTTGTGGGGAGACTTTAAATTATCAATTTATTTACATGATGTAGGTCTATTTAGATTTTATTTCTTCTTGCATCACTTTTGGTATTTTGTCTCTTATAAAAAATGTGTTTATTTCAACTAAAGTGTCAAATTTGTTGGCTTAAAGTTGTTCATAATATTCCCTTATTCTCCTTTTAATTTCTGAGGGTCTGTGATAATGTTTCTGTGTTCATTTTTGATTTTGGCAGTTTGTGTCTTCTATAATTTTTTCTTGATTTGTTTACCTAAAGATGTATAAATTTTGTTACATTTTTCAAAGAACCAACTGTTGGTTTTATTGATTTTCTTTATTGGTACTTGTTTCCTACTTTATGTTTGCTCTGTTCTTTATTATGTCTTTCCTAATATTTATTTTGTGTTTGATTTGCTTTTCTTTTCCTAACTTAAGATAGTAACTTTGTTGATTGATTTTAAACATTTAATCCTGTATAAAATAAGCATTTAAAGAAATAAATTTTCTTCTGAGCACTGCTTTAGTTATATTCCATAAATTTTGGTATGTTTTTATTTTCATTCAGTTCAAGATACTTTCTAATTTCTCTTTTGATTTCTTCTTTGATCCATAGTTATGTAGAAGTGTGATGTTACTTCACATATATTTGGATATTTCCCATATTTATTTTTGTTAATTCTAATTTAATTATAGTTATTCTTTTTTTTAACTTTCAATGTTTTTTAATTATTTCTTTTTTATATTTTAAAAATTTTTATTGAATCAATTGACTATACATATTTTTTGGGTTCAACATTGACATAGGTTGGTCACATCAATCTTACTAGCATATATATTGTTACAAGTCATACTTATTTTTTATGCCCCTTGTCCAATCTCTCCCCATCCTCCTCTCCCTCCCCCATCCCTGCCACCTCTGATAACCCTAGATTTCTTCTCTCCTTCTGAAGGAGTAATGGTTGATTTGTTGCTTAGATGATTTGTCCAAGGCTCAGAGGTGTGTTCAGGTCCCCTAATATTATCATAGAGCAGATGCTTCTTCTGTCACTCTGGAATGGGCTTTGTGGAGAGAGACATCCTCTTCTTTTCTTTGGTCTCTGCTGGTGACTCTCCTTGTGTTAATGCACTCCAGTGGCTGGAGGACCATCTGCATGGTGGTTGTGGTGTCTAACCACTAGTTGCTGGTAGTGGCAGCTGTGTGCCTGGTTGAGGGAGGGGTCCCAGTCCCTGACTCCATCTTCGGGACCCCAGGCAGGCTCCCTGGTGGCAGTGGTGTGCCTGGTTGTGGGCAGAGGGTCCAGTCCCCGGCTTCATGACTTGGGACTCTGGGCAGGCCCTCTGGTGGTGGCGGCAGTGTGCCTGGTTGTGGGAGGAGGTTCCAGTCCCTGGCTCCATGCTTTGGGACCCTGGGTGGGCCCTGTGGTTGTGGCCTATATTGTTATTCTTGTTTATTAAAAACACGTTATGGATTAACTGTTCATTTTCTTATTTCAGATGTAATTATGTCGTGGTCAGAGAACATACTTTTTATGATTTTATTTCTTACAAGTTTATTAAGACTTGCTTTATGGCCTGGTGAATATTCCATGTGCAATTAAAAAGAATGTGTAATTCACTATTTAGGAGTAAAGTGTTTTATATATATCAGTTAAGTCAAGTTGGCTGATGGAGTTGTTCAGGTCTTCTGTATCCTTACTCATTTTCTATTTATCTGTTTTATGAATTATTCAGAAAGGAATAGGAATACTGCACTCTCCAAGTATAACTGTTGACTTGCTTATTCCTATTGCAGTTCTGTCAGTTTTTGCTTCATGCATTTTTGGTCTCTGTTTTAGGTGCATATGTATTTATAATTATTGTATTTTTAATGTTTTGATCTAATATATATCCTCATAAAATATACCTATTTTTCTCTAGTAATATTCTTTATGTAAAAATTTATTTTTAAATATTAATATAGCCATTTTGGTTCTCTTATCATTAATATTTTTAGGGTACAACTTTTTCAACCTATTTTTGTCTTTGACCTTATAGCCTTTTTCTTCTAGACTGCATTTATCTTGCCTTTTTATACAGTCTGATAACCTCTGCCTTTGATCAGAGTGTTTATTCTATTTATATTTAATGTAATTATTAATATAGTTAAATTAGGTCTGTTATTTTATTTATGTCTCATTGCTTTTTCCCCCTCTGTTACCCCTTTATTGTTTTCTTTTTATGTTTAGCAAATCCTGACTATTACACCATTTTAATTCCTCTATTAACTTTTTAGCAATATTTCTTTGACTTTTTTCCTTTGTGTGTGTTTGCACTACAGGTTACAATATGAATCCCTTATTTTGTCATGATTTACTTCAAGTTAGTACTGATTTAATTCCAGTGGAATGTAGCAATTTTGGACTCATATTGCTCTGCTTCCTCCCCACTGTCAATAATTGTAAAATCCTAGGATTTTACCCTGTTTACAAGTTAGCAAGTTAGCCTGCCACAGTTTAATGGAATTTGACAGATGTGAGATTCCTGGGTCAGAGACAAAGACAGTTTATTACTCTCTGCAATAGCATTAGTCAGAGCATCATCCTTTGTTTCAATTCTTCAAGCCCTAATTCTCACACGGTGACACAACGAGGGGCAAAATGTGGTATAATTCACTAGAGCAAAATTCAGAGATTGTTTCAATGGGATACTGGATGTTCTGAAAAGTAAAATCTTCATTGTCAAATAAGTTTGAGAAATTGTACACCTATATCTACCTTATGTATATCCACAATATACATTAGTATATGAAAAGCTCTAAGAAGTCTTGCAGAAAGAAAGCTGCTTAATTTTTTGTTTGAAGCAAGAGTTCCCAAAATTATTTGACCACAGGATCATCTTCTTTTCTTCTATATATCATAATAATCTGCAGAAGTAGTGTTTCACATTATTCGCTTTGACAAACACCAGTCTAGCAAACAATAGGATTGAAATATAGGCAGGTTAGTTTTAAGTTATCATTAAGAAAGATAGTACTTCTGAAATAAAAGTTAAAGTAAGTGTCATTCTTCCCAATTTCTTGGAAACCATTTAATGTTCTTCTCTTCCATTCTTTAAATGATTGGAGTCAAGTACACAACATGTTTATCTGTAAACTCTGTTTCAATTTGTAGGGGATGTGATCAACCTCGGTGACAGACAACTCACTGTTATGCACATGCCAGGTCACTCCAGGGGCAGTATTTGCTTACATGACAAAGACCGAAAGATTCTCTTCAGTGGAGATGTCGTGTATGATGGATCACTGATTGACTGGCTTCCTTACAGCAGGATAAGTGACTATGTTGGAACCTGTGAACGTCTGATAGAATTAGTGGACAGAGGTCTGGTAGAGAAGGTGCTTCCTGGGCACTTCAATACCTTCGGTGCTGAAAGGCTTTTTCGATTGGCTTCTAACTATATTTCAAAAGCTGGGATATGTCACAAAGTTTCTACTTTTGCCATGCGATCTCTTGCTAGTTTAGCCCTACGTGTAACAAATTCTAGGACCTCACCCTAGTATCTGTACTGATCACCTATTTTGATTAATTATATAAATAAATCCAATTCATTTTGTCTTGTTTAAAATGATGAATAGTGAGCATTTCAAGAAGTGCTTTTATACCATTATTGTATATTAGAAAAAAAGAGATTGAAAATGAATAAGCCAAAATCAGAAGTTTTAGTTAAAATTTTTTTCTTTCTTCAAAGTAAGAAACGACTTAAATAAGCTTATAATTTGCCAAAGCTGTCATGTCATAATATTTGCTCTATAAATGACATAGAAGTATTTGAGGAAGCAAGGAGGCATTTTGCAGCAAGAGAAAAAACTGTCCTTGCCTCCTATTTATCTTATTTTATTTCCTCCAAACGTGATAATTTTAATATGTTATTTAAAGATAAAGATTCTTGTGTTTAAAATACCTTAAAACTCAATACAAACATGTATACTAACATCTAGAATGACAGTAAAATTTTCCATTGTTATGGTCCTGAATTTTTTATGTTTTGTTGTATTTATGTATTCTTTGCAAAATTATAACATACATAAATGTTGTGTAATTTAACTTATAGAAAGTACAATGAATTTTGTTGTATTGCAAAGCTTTAAATATAAGTTGCAGAGTGCTTCAGTAAAAAGCTACTATATATTGTTTGTTATGTAAGTAATATTTTCAATCATAAAAGTGAAATTCAAATATCTGTAATCTAACTGCAAATTGTCAGATTTCTCAAAAGGACACTGTCAGGCAAACTTGAAAATATACACCTTGAGAATAATTTTTTTATTATATACTATTTTAATATTAACAGCTATTATAAACAATTTTTCTTGTTAAATAGCAACTTCAGTATTGTGTCATGTTTTACATTATCACAACTATAGAGAGCTACAGAATTCTGACATAAATCATTCTTTTATTTACCATACCATACATATATACCATAGGAAGATTTTCAAATTAGTTGCAAAATGTGCTTTACATATTGACTTAGATTGAATTGCCTTTTTTATCCTGATTCACAACACCTATTCCTGTTCAGTATTCTCTGTCTTAAATGAAAAGAAGTCTACATTTGTAAAGTCATAGGAAAGATTATACCACTATTTGGTAAAATGTTTTGGTTTGGTGCTCTTAATAATTTATTAGAAAGCCCTTTGTAATATTTCTTAAACATTTCTTAAATCATTTTTCCACTGCCTTTTTATTATTGACATGTCTAAAACTAAACTGAGATAGCTTTGGAAATCATATTTTTTTAATATTAGGAAGGTCCAGCAATTTTGATTTCTGAAAAATTATGAAACTTTTTCTACCCTGCAGACATCCAGGTTCTTTATTTTTTTATTCATTTAACATACCCCCCCCCCCCCACATGCATACATACATAGTCATATGCATACATGCACAGCACTGCACTAAACACTGTGGAGGCTTAAAAAGTCAAAGAGATATTATGGCTGGAAGTGGAAGGCACAATTTCAAAAATATGAATAATAATATATATGCAAGTTGAAGTTAATATAAATTATGCATGAATGTAAAGGATATAAATGGAGAGGTGTGAAGTTTGGTTAGGAAAAGTTTCCTGGAGGAGGGGTTTTTGAGTAAGATTTGGAAGGATGACTAGTTAGGTGGTCACGGTAGGACACATTGCTGTCTAGAGTAGTCTATTCCTTGTGAAAATATAAATTTAATTTTCAGTAATCCTATATCTTCAAAACACCATGTATTTAGCAAGAGAAATATGGATTTGTGATTGTGTATATGAATCATCCTTATTGACAGGCAAACTGAACTTCCACATGCCTCCAAATCAACCTTTACTTAGAATCCTAAAGGAGGCCATGATTAGTTCAAATACAGAAGATTGTGAAAGTTTCTCTATGATGGTCATTCAAGGCAGTAAGTCTGTTTCAACTGATAGTGCAACATCAAGAATATAGATTTGGTTCAGGGCAACTACAATCACTTAGTGAGCCTTAAATATAGCCATTATTTTTATATCAATAGCACAAAAGAAAACCAAAAGTCCTTAACCACTGACCATTTTATCATACTGTAGGCCTTTTTTTAAAAAAATCAGGGTATAGTAGGCAGTAGGTTTTAGTAGGAAATATTAAACTTAATGAAGGATTTCCTTATTTATTAAAAGTGTAATTTTTCAAAACACATTGATATTATTTTTTTATTTCCCAATTTTTTTTCAATTTTTCAAATCGTACCACAATATAAGACTGTGATATTTTACTATTGCTTTAATGAGAATGAATTGGGGAAAGGATATCATTCATTGAGTGCCCATACTGTACATTTTACATATACATTATTTAATTTAATCCTGGCCTCGGCACCAAGAGGTAATTGACCAGCCTCACACAACCCAACTTTAGACAAAGCTGGTAATGGAACACAGGTCTGTCTGCCCCCAGACTGTGCTCTTTCTCTTATGCCTGCACAATGACATAAAATTGGCAAAGTATATTTTTGCTTTTCAAGATGCCACATGTGCCAAGAATAAATCAAATTATGTTAAAGCATAATAATTACGTATCTTTTAAGAGATTTTAAAATCTATATTTTCACCCTGACAGTGACCCTTGTTGTAATTTATGATTTTCGGAAATATTAGTATGTAAGTATAATTTAAAGTTGTCAAAATGTAAGACATTTAGAAATAATTTTTATTATTTATATTGTTAATACTTAATCTTTGGTAATTCGTTTTCCTTGTTTGATGTTTCCTTTTAACTGAGAAGCCTAAAGCAAACAAAAATCTTGTGTATTATCCTGATATAGTTGAATAAATAATTATGTGATTATGTGTATTTGTCCCTATATGGATAGTAATATGAATATGACATGCACAAATTGTCCTCTTATAATTTTCAGATAAGTGTAAGTAAACATTTATGTAATAACTATTAAAGTGGACATTTTATTTCAATCTATAATTGGTATTTTTTATAACATTAGCAAATTTCTGTTTAATTTCTTGCAAGGATATTTTCTATATGAAGTGCAGTTTTGAAAGCTTGTTATAAATAAGATGTCAAATCTATGGGAAAGAATAGAGTTCCCAAAACAGAAAAATACCCATATAAGGCTTTAGTAGTTAATAAAGATGGCTTTTCAAATTAATGGATAAAAGATAGACTGTTAAACAAATATTACAATTGTTGATGTGGGAGAAAAGGCCCCTACCATCATAAAAATAAATTCTAAATGGATTAAAGACCTAAATGTGAAAACCTGAACTACATGTGTATTAAAATAATGTTTAAATCATGTTTAATACCTTAGGAAAGGAAAGATCTGCTTTATATAGAAACAAAAAGCAAAATTAAATCAAAAATTAAAATGTCTTAAAATTTAGATGCAATAAAGAAAGTTAAAAAAGAGAGATTAGAAGAAAATATTTACAACTTGTATAACACAAAAAAAGTTTTTTAGTGAATATAGAGAATGCCTACAAATTAATTAAAAAACAAACAAACAAACAAAAAAAAACCAAAACTACTGTAAGAGAGGAAAGATCTTTCCACCACCCTCTTAGGCCCTATGGCTGGGCCTGAGAATTAAGCTTATGAAAGACAGATGAAAAGGAGGAGAGCATACAAATTTTATTTGATGTTAATATTTTTCGTGTACACAGAGGTCTTCATGTAGACCCACAGAAGCAGATAGGCTGGAGGGCTTATATATCATTTTAACAAAGAAAGATAAATTGTGGAGATGTGACAAGACAAAGGAAAAAAGGGTTTTGGCTAGGAGTGGTAAATTGTGGGAAAGTGACTAGAAAATACATGAGAAATTAATGAAAATAAGGGTTATTTTAGCAGGTTTATTTGTACTGATGCATTTTGGCATTGACTTCCCATCTCCAGTGATAAGAATGTTCTCTTCCTGGTACAAGGAAAGCACCTCTCTCATGGGAAATTTTATGCCCTGCTTTTAGGTAGGAAGGGGAGGGTCAGAGAAGCCTTCTTAGATCTGATTTTCTCAATTGTCTTCAGTTCAAAATAATCCACATGCCAAAGTGGCATATTTGGGGGTGGCATATTCTGATCTTCACTACTTATAAAAATGGATAAATTCTATGAACAGGTTATTCATAGGAGAGGAAACATAAAGGGCCAATAAACATAAAGTAATGCTAAAACTCACTAGTAATCAGGGAAATGCAAATTAAAACAATAAGACAGTTCAACCAGTTTGGAAAATTTTGAGAATATGGAGTGGTGGTGAAGGTAAGTGGATATTTCACACTGTGCTGCTAGGACTGTAAGGTGTGCCGGCCATTTTGGGGGGCAATTCTGTAGTGATTTGGCACATTCAGACTTTGGATTAAGAATGGCAGGTTGAGCATACACTTTACCCTCTGCTTCTTTCTGAAACTCTGAATAAAATGACAAGGCATTTTTTAGAGTGGCATAAACTCACAGAAAGAACAAGAATGGTAAAGAAGACAACAGCAACCTTTTGGGCACTGAAAAACTGATGGATGAATGAAAACTGATTTTGCAAACCCTGGCTGAAAACTAGGCCAGGAATGAGGAAAGCCAAAAAGCGATTGATCTTATTTCAGTGCAAAGTTCTCTAAAAGGCTCAGAAATTGATAGTGCCAGATAGTTCTAGGAGTGGAGTAAAGGTCTTTTGATTCAAATTATGTTTGTGATTTAGACCACCAAATTCCTCCCTAATTCTACACTGTTAAGCAGTTTCCTCTCTCCTATCTCAGGAAGGATTGGAGGCTAATTTAAATTTACTATGAAATAAAGCAATCAGTCTATAGCTTCAGGGAGGGCCCTGTTCTTGCATGGACCCCTTCCACGGCCCTGGGAGGGACCTGAGATATGTGTTCAAATTGTCTCTCTTTTTGGGCCGGCCCAGTGGTGCACTGGATAGTGTGCCGCTTGGGAAGCGCGGCGGCGCTCCCGCCCGAGGGTTCGGATCCCACATGCAGACCGGTTCCCGCTCACTGGCTGAGCGAGGCGCGGGAGCAACGCCGAGGGTTGCGATCCCGTTGCCGGTCCCCGGTCCGGTACCGGGGCAACACTGAGGGTTGCGATCCGTTGCCGGACACAGAAAAAGACAAAAGACAAAAAAAAAAAATTGTCTCTCTTTTTTTAAAGTTGGGACGAGTAGGTTATTTTTGTATTCTTTCTCTCAAAGCCCGAAAATTGCATAAGCTTCAGGACCCACAAAACCGGGGTCTGCTCCTGACTAGTGGACTATTATATGGGGAGGGGGTAAAACAGAGAATCTCTATTCTGAAGAGACCAAACCTTGTTTCTGGCTGGCGTCCTATATTGAAAAAGGAGACATTTAGCAAGCGTTTATATACAATGAAAGTTTGTATACTAAAAGTTAAGACACCCCTGACTCCCCTGACCTAGCTCAAAGAATTCTGGCAGCTAGCATTATACCCTCTCAGTAAGAGATTGAAAGAGACTTTTCTCAGAAATTTGACCCCCAAGATAAAAGACCTAATGATATTGAGTGTGGAATAACTGAGGAAAGATCCCATGAGATTACCCTACAAGGCAGCTCACAATTGCTGAGCCTCCCTTTCTCGTCTGTCCCCTCACAGGACTCTAAAGTCCTACACTGTTAAGTTTAATTATGTAAGCCAGCATCTTATGGAAAAATGAAAAGCATAAATGGAAATACATGGAAAAACCACTGAAAGCATTATTAGAATTAAACACGATATTAAATTATTAAAAACCCAAACTTTATTTATAAAAACAAAAATGAGTTCAAAGATATGTAATGCTGTATGTATTTATGATAAATATTTTTTTAAAGCCCTAGGCACAAACATAACAGAAAATGTTCAAAATTTATATAAGGAAAACGGAAAAAGAAAAAAGACAAAAAAAAAAAAAAAAAAAAAAAATACTATGTACTTGGATAGGAATATTGAAAGATAATTCTTCAAGGGTCTCATTTCTGCACAGCTTGCAAACAGAAGCATTGACTACCTTTGTTCTACGTGATGTTAAAACTTTTTTATTATTGGGGTATAATTTATATACCATAAAATTCACCCTGTTAAAGTGCGCAATTCAGTGGTTTTAAGTATGTTCACAGAAGTGTGCAACTGACACCACTAATTCCAGAACATTTTTATCACCACCCAAAGAAACCTTGTACCTTTTAGTAATTACTACCCATTCACCCTTTTCGCTGGCTCCAGGAAACCACTAATCTACTTTCTGTCTTCAGGGATTTACCTTTGCTGGAAATTTCAGGTAAATGAAACCATATAATTTGTGACTTTTTGAGTTTGGCTTCTTTCACTTAACTTAGCGTAATGTGTTTAAGGTTCATCCATGTTGTAGCGTGTATCAGTATTTTATTTCTTTTTATTACCAAATAATATCTCATTGTGTAATATACCACATTTTGAATATCAATTTATCAGTTAATGAAGTTTAGGTTATTTCTACTTTTTGATTATCATGAATAACACTGCAATGAACATTTGTGTACAAGTTTTCGTGTGTACATGTATGTTCAGTTCTCTGAAGTATATACCTGGGAGTGGAATTGTTGGGTCTCTGGTAACTCTAACTTTTCACCTTTTGAGAAATTGCCAAATTTTTCCAAAGTGGCTGCCCCATTTTACATTCCCACCAGCAGTGTATGAAGGTTCTAATTTCTCCATACCCTCACCAACACTCATCAATTTTCATCTTTTTTATTATACCATCTGCTATGGTTTGAATGTTTGTTTCTTCCAAAACTCATGTTGAAATTTAGTTGCCATTAAGGACTGAGACTAAGTTTCTTGTTTTTCTTACCTCTCTAGTCAGCTGCAAATAAGAGGAAATATGAGAGAGAGGCAAGACAACCTAGCTGGTTGTAAACTCCCCCTCTTACTTAAAGGAAAACTGCATCCACGTTAATTAGAAATCCAAGTCAGGTATTTTTATGATGTTTGACTAAGGTTATTATCCTTGAGCTCTCCCTAGGAGATAAAGACTCCAACCTCGAGGTAACATCGAGGACTTGAAGCTGACCACAGACTCTGTGACGCTGAAGTTTCCAATCCATCACGGGACCTTGACATCTGACTCAGACCATATGCTGCTCCCAGACGCCCCCATTTTTTTCTTCAGAACAAAAACCCTTTCCTCATCTTCCTGCCTCTTCCTCTTTATAAACCCCAGAATAAGCATCAGAAGGCATGATGATTTTAGCCTGGTCATCCCCCAGATGCCGGTTATCTGAATAAGCCTTCTAATCCTCGTACCAACTTCTGGACTTTTGAGTCATTTGTTTAATGCGAGAGGGCAAGCGGAGCCTGGTCTGTTGGTAACAGATCCATGTGGGTTCATTGTGCTATTCTACTTTTGTATATATTTAACATTTTTCCTGATAAGGAATTCTTTAAAAAGTCTCAGAGGTAAAACATGTGGAATCCATAAAACAAGAACAGGACAATGTTTAGATAAGCAGCAAGAAGAAAAAAATACCTCTTAAAGAAAAGAAGACAGCAGAAACTTCATAGAAATTTTGGACAATATAGTTGAGAAAAAACTCCTAGACAGTAATCCAAAGGGATGGAAAATAGGAGAGATGATAAGAAAATTAGAGATCAGCCTAGGAGGCCCAAGATATCAAAAATAAGTATTCCAAAAAAGCAAGAAAAGAGAAAATAAAGAAGAGGATCTCATCAATGAAATTATTCAAAAGCATTTATGAGAGTTCAGAATAAAAATATATAGACTGAAAAGACTGCTTACCAAATGAAGATGAATCCACATCAAGATAGAAGTCATAAATTTAAGAACACTAGGTACGGACAAAAGATCCAAAAAGCTTCTGATGTTTTTTGGGGGAAGGGGTAAACTACATTTAAAAGATAAGGAATCAGAATGACTGGAGGGTTCTCAAAAGTTACCCTGAATGCTAGAAGACAATGGAGGAGTGCTTTTTAAAA